CAAAAAATACTGAAAAAATTATCGCGGGGGTGGTAAAAAAGGTGGAGACGCATGAATCTCTGAGAAACAGCAGTTGAAAGCTTTTTTCATTTATCAAAGATATTTTCGCGACAGTGTTAACCCTATCCAACTCTCGAAAATTAAACATAGCGCATACATAACAAACTACACTAGTAAATACAGTTCTGATAGTAAATTTTCGCTTTGTAACGCATAATTTCTCTCATATCGCCATTCACGTAAATTTGACATCCGAAATACTCTAATCATAGGCAAAACCAAAATCACAATGGATGCATAAGCGGCAATAATCATTCAGGTTGCAATCACAGCCAAATGTCATGCGAGGTGATAGAAAAAGCCTAATCGGACGAGTTTTGTGATCACAATTGATGCCGATTGCATAGAACTCGGGAAATAGGGGCAATTTTTAGAGGTCTGGCCTTCTTTATATATGTTTCCGCAATAAAATTGGATTTTGAATAAGAGAAAGATTAATAGTGGCCAGAATGTCAGTCTGATCGACTTCAAAAAAAAACTGATAGTTCCATTTTGCATTTAAATAAAGCTTTTGATGGATCCTTGCGTAAAACATGAGAAAATCTATAACAAATCTATAAAATTTATAAACATTGAAAAATAGAGGTCATCACAATTGCAATGAGGAACATGACTTTTGCCATCAGATATTGAGGCATTTCATTTAAAAATTTGAAAAATTGATACTTACAAAAGATGTAAACTGAGTTTTGATTCTTCCCCCAAATAAAACTTTCTCGCATTTCCCAGGGTAATGTCAATTATAATCGTAACTCATGGGAATTTACACAGAGCTCACGTCGTAAAAAATTCAAATTCTAAAGCACTGCTTCCGTTCTTGTTTTGTGACTATATGAATTTGAACAGCAGACCCCCACCCCCCGAGAATGGGTCGAAAAATTAACTTGATTTATAAAATTGTGCAAGTAACTCATTTATAATTGTTGATAATTAGAATAATTTTCATTTCTGGAAATTCAAGTTAGATTTGTGAAAGAAATTTTTTCACGGGCGTAGCTGGCACACGCAGTTTTTTTTCACGATTTCGGGGTAATGGCACTGCGAAATTTTGAAAAGCATCACAAAATTCTTTGAAAAACTGGAGTCAAGCATTCCAAAAGCATTTTGGTTTTTGCACAACAAACTCACTGTCACAACTTTTTTAAAATTCTTTGAGAAGATTTACACAAGGCATATATGTGATATTTTTCAGAAAATCTCTTCAGAAACCTCGACAAGCAACACTAAGTTGTACATTTCACAGACGAAGAAGATGGGTGTGTGTGCTGTCCGAGCTTGGAAGGGCTTTTGCTCGCTCCAATGTTTGAGTAGTGCGACCAAACACAAGTGAAAACACTTGTGTGACAGCGGAAATGTGCCACAATTGACCAATGCGACGTTTAACGACGTCTTAGGAGAAAAAATCGGGGTTTTGCAAGAGTGAGACATGCCGTACTAGGTAGTGTGAGCTAAGGCGTTTTTTTTTTCGACACATACGAAAAAATGCAGAACAAAATGCTGAGATTGTAAGAAGTGCTCAATAATAATGGACAATGAAAAAAACCTGAGTCTGTTCTAAATTTTATCATAATTTATCGTAAGTCATCATAATCAGGTTGCACTGATTTTTACAAACGAAAAGAATAGTGATGACTCTAAGCTCAATACTTCAGTGTATTTTTCTCAACCTCCAAGAAGAACAGTAAGAAACAGTTTTGTCACCTGTCAATCCCAAAAATAATCTTTAACCCCTCGCAGAGATTCTCTTTAACTGTGAACGATGGTCCCAAAAGCCTTAGGATCGGCATATGCTTGAAGATCTACGACTAAGCACTGCCTTCTCATAGGATAATAATTTTCTCAAGGAAAGGATTATGAGGGAATTTTCCACAGTTCTAGCACTCGTAGAGATGACTAAGACCTGATGTGTCACATTCATGCACGTAAGCGAATTTGTCATAAGCTAAAATGAGGAACTGACTTCATTTCAGTATCAAGCCCGTGAAACAAGAAAGCATTATGACGAAGCTGTGAAAATCGAAAAGCCATAGAAAAAATTGATGGCATGGAAAATTGTCAGAACTTAAAGTTCTCGCTGTTTTGAGCGTAAGTTACTGTAATTCTTCTTCGATAGAGATATAGTAGCTTTGCCGGTATAGTTCAGATTATAGCAGTATTCTAAGATAAGTGAAATGCAGGAAAAAACTGAGAATGATTAATTTTGAAAATTCGGCATTGAGGTAATCTTGAAATAAATACGAGCGATTGAGGAGGTGGGAAGGGGGAGGGGGGATATCAAAGTTTTGAAAATCTAAATAGATTACAGAATTATGCAAGCATTTATTCTACTGTACATATGTAGCTGAAACAATTTCACGATCAACTTGACCATTCAAATTAATTTCGAAAAATTTTTTTTTGGGAAGTGACTGCCATTACCCCTTTTTTCAAGCCTTTTGGTTTAGAAAGAGGAAAAAAGAGAAAAAAATCGAAGAATTGAAAGATGGGATAGAAGAAAATGTCTGACACTACTAGAAGAATGTCAATGTGATGCACCTATTTCAGTCTTTGGAGTGAAGGTTGGTCAAAAAAGCATTCAAAAAGCATCATCTGTGTTTCTTATCATCCTATTACTGTAAGGTTACGGTACATATGCACTAACGATTACTTCAAATGGTTGCGGAAAATATCAATAAAGGGAAAAACGAAGGTGAAAGACTTACTGTGGTGATGTATGTACGGATTGTACAAGTCTGGCAGCACTTCCAAAAATCTAAAACTGGGCTTTTTTTTGAACAAATCTCTCGGACCAGTGGAAGCTGATGATCAACACCTACGGCGCAAAGGTCATGAGGCTAAGCCAGCTGAGCACATTTACCCCTCTCCTCCCCCCCCCCCTCTTTCCCCTCCTCCGAGGAGTCAAATCGAAACCACATACACACTATGACACGAGACATGCGCCGATTTGGATCACGTCACATCTCGTCCTTAACAATGGCGCCACCATTCCGACAACTTTTTGCAAGAGCTGCTGCTGGTGCGCGCGCACACAGTCTCGAACAGAACTCATCGAATTGCTCGTCTTTGACGAATTACTTGAAAAATTAGCTTTTCGGGATTTGGGTTGTTGAGAAGAAAGATTATGCAATGTAAAAAGTCATAAACGACATACTTTCCATGTCAATTTAGCAAAAAAAAATCAGGACCTACAGGATATTCTTGTTTGCGATCAGTTAGAGTTCCAATCGATCTCGAAAGCTATAACAAACGTACTAACAATAATGTATCTTCTTTTAATGTAGGACAGGAAGTTCAGGACAGGTTCCCATGAATACAGTATGTCAAAACTAGAAAACATCAATAACCTTCGTTAGAATGATGGGGCGCAGTGAAGGAAAGTAAATACCTGATCCGAACTAGAAGTATACAATGTGAAGCGCAAGGGACTAGGTTTGTGAGGAATTTATGCTGATTTCCTCAAATTTTGAGATATCATAAGCATACTTTATCTCAATAAATTATCATGCAAGATAAAGGTAAATCGAGCGGCCTATTCATGGTTTTGGAACCAAAAATGCTGTACAGAAGGTTTTGGAAAAAAAAATATACAACAGTTCTGATACGAACAAGATTACGGTAATGTGGCAGGCGCCTACAGTATGACTGCTACATGGCATGTAATTCACAAGAAACGCTAAAAAAGTTGTTTTTGAATTTTTTTGACCAGCACGAACTGTAACTTCAGAATGATAGTTCTTAGTGGTTTCTGCTCTCTACTAAATTTTGAAATTTCGAAAAAAGTTAAATGTAGGAAGTTCAATCTCTACTATGTTTTCTATCCGCCTCCATTTATTACCATTCAAATTCGCGTTGGTCAAAACAATGACAGAAAATATTTTGTAAGCAGTAGTTCGAGGGCTTTGGTCAGTTACATCATTAACTCGTCAGCCTAACCTACGTTCAACCAAAAGTTATAAAGATAAACAAGTCCTTTAATCATAGGACTTGAGCCAAGAATCCCCTACTTCCATCCATCATTTGCGCAATGGTAGGACATCATAGGGCCGCTACTGGTTGTGAACACAAAGATTGGAGGCTGTAAAAATCTTCAACCGGTTTCTCACTGAAATCTGGTGACTTCTATCATACATGCGACTTTATAAAAAAAATCACATGCGATGAATTTTCGGTGAGAGAGAGAATAATAACATGATATGGCCATATATAGGTGCCAAAAGTGTAAAAACCATATCGTTAGTTTTCCATCTACATTCATTGATTTTGCACAAAGCGAGTTCAGTAAAAAATTTACGCCGCCATAACCGTCTTGAAGGGCAAAGCTACAATCATAGCTCAAGCCACACTGGCCTACAGTAGTCCTACAGCAATCCTTCGAATCATATTTTATATAATGGTGTTGTAGCATGATGGAATACCGCGGCATTACTCTGGGCAAGTAAGCAGTCAAAATGCTACACCATCATAAGCGATTTTACGGACAGAGCTACAGCAGCTTAAACAAGTGACCTACAGTAACCCTACAGTAACCACAGTAAAGACCGTCGATGCGCGGTCGACGGATTACTGTAGCAACATGTGGGCTAATAAACGATAAAAATGCTACACAATCTATGTGATTTGAAGGGCAAAGCAGCAGCTTAAGCTGCAGGGACCTACAGTAATCCTATCCTAATCCGTCAGAATATACAATACTTTAGATTGTTGTACTGTAGTCTGACGGATTACTGTAGGGCTACTGTAGGCTACTGTGACACATTTGTGACAATGCTGGAAATTTCACAAAGAACTGTGCTACAAAAAAATTGAAAATAGCTTACTACCAAGCAAACAGAAGTTCAGGGCAAAGCGGTTTACAGGCGAATGCGAGAAATTTTCGCCTACCCTGATCAAGTTGTCAATGCCGCAGTACTGACTCATCTTTTCTGAAAAGTTAAAGTTACCTTTGTTGTTTTTTTCCGACCTCAATTAGGGGGCAATGGCGCAGTGTTCAGAGGCAATCGCAGACTAAAACCTGCCCCTTCGGTACCGTCTCTTCGTGTACACATCTCTACCCTGTTCGCTTACATTCCACATGCACATTTCCATAGAATTGCACGGAAGACACAAACTATGCCTTAATGTCTGAAAAACTCCTACAACAGCCACTATCACAGTAGTATTCTCACTAATGGCTTCAATGGTTAAACCGGTCTCAAAGTTATATCATTAACATTATAATGGCACAGTTACTTCGAATAGTGGGAATTTATTCTGAAAAAATCTGTGATTATGTTAAAACCAGTTTTGAATGAAAGAGAAAAACATGTTTTCTATTATATCAATAATAATAATTAATTTATATTATAAATATTATATATATTATATATATTATATAATATATTATTATATATATTATATATATTATTATAATTATTAATTTATATTAATATAAAGCTCCAGCCAAAAAAATCTTAGCTTCGGCAAGGCGCTCAAATGTAGCAACTATTCAGGGAGAAGTTCATACTTTGTATTGAAGAGCTGACTAAAAATATTTGAGAAAAAACATTTTCATTGAGATATGAAAAAGTGGCTGCTCATCCTAGTAATGTCCAAGGTTCTAGAACCTGAATAACCTGAATCTCTCGTATGAAGCAAAGAGTTTTGAAGAGAAAAAAGATTAGAGCTGAAATTCTCAATTGCAAGGTAATCTTGAAAGACGATCGATGAGTAATCGATATATTGATCAAGTTTTCCAGTGTATACAAGCACTGTGTAAATATTCAGAGGAATGAATGCTTTTCTGAAGGAGTTTTTACTTGACAAAATCAAGCCTCAAGTGTGTGTGAAGGATTCAATCCAGCAATTTGAATTCAAGTCCGAACTGCCAAGGAAATCTACCGGTTTGGAAAGCACATTGAAAGAACACATAATGTCGCAGGATACGGACAGATGAGGCAAGAAAGGTTACAGCGGATCCGCAAAACTAATTTTGTAAACGAAGAATTTCAGTGAAAAGAGCTTGACAGCAATGTAAAAAGAAACATCAGAAATGGCGCACTTTAGCCTAGACTTACTTGGATATCACATTAGCTTGGTCTTTGATCCATCGCGTATATACACATAAACTTACCAAAAATCCTTGTGCTCACTTCGAGGAATGTGAGAACAAGTGAGCATAGATTATGGAGAAAAGCTTGCTGTCTCACGAGCTGCTGCGAATAATAATGTTTGGATCGCCGACTCCATCATGCTCAGTATTCCGTAAATTATTAGTTCCGAAGTGATCGTAATTATGATAACTCACAAGAAAACTGCATCACTTTACGTTTGCTAGAATGGAGCAAGCTGAATGGGTCACTAACTCAAAATAAAATAATTAAAGAAGCCTAGCAAAATGAGGTGAGTCTAGAAAATGCGGACTCTGGTCTTCTGTTTCACAGTTTCATTTGACATATGGAGAAAGGGCTGTTCTTTGAGTTGAGTCCTGAATTTCCCAGCGACGCGACAGAAAATTCTTTTAAGAAAACAACTTTTCTTCTTGCGTCAAACATTGCAGTAGAAAGCAGCATAAAGTAATTGGAAAATAAACATTCAAGCTTACCAGAAACTATGACCATGTAATGATTAGCTTGTGCCAGCTGAGAGCTGAAGGAAATTTCCAGAACCGATAGCGCTAAGAATTGCACTGGGAGCATTTGAAATTGGGAAGATATGATTGATTGCGACTTCTAGGGATAATTTATCACTGCGCAGAAGTAATTTTGGCTCCAGAAATTGACTTCTTCAACAAAAAAAACAGCGCCAACTATGCCGAAGAGAAAATAAGTAATGTTCCCGAAAGTGCAAAAAGTCCATCAAAACATAAATTTCGAGGAAATGCGCAGAACATCTATTAGAACTTCAAAGTGTATGCATGGAATATCTAACAACTCGTTTCGAGGGCGAAATAGAACAAGCAGAACAAGTGAATGGGGTTCAAGTGGTTGTGTTGAGATGAAGCAAACGCTGTGTTAGAGTGCATAAGAAAGGTAAAAAGGGCATGAAAATATGTTAGAGAAGCTTTTTGGGGTCTGACTTGGCGCGACAGCTTTCCCACAACACTACGAAAGTGCTCGATAATCCAAAAAGACTCTCGAGTGAGACCAAGAAGAAGTGGCGAAGACGAGAAGTCAACTTATACAAGTGCTCAAGTGATCTAAGAGAAATTTTAGGAAACGATATTGCATGGAAAACAGGTTCTCATAAAAATATCTCATAGCAATTATCCTAAAAATAATCGAGACCAAAAATTCTACTTTTCGAAATTTGCCGAATTCTAATGCCCTTTGCTAGAGATAACATGCTAAGTTTAAAGAACTTGAAAACAGAAGTGTAGAAATCGTGCTGTCTGAGGAAAAATGGAAAAGGCTGGATTTCCCCAGAGGAAGCTGAAATGCATTTAACAGAATGTTTTAAAGACGTGAAACCAGATGAAGGCGTGGAAGAAATGCAACCAGATTCTGCTTTGAAAGGTGGAAAAGCAAATTAAAGAGACAAATAAGAGAATAAAAAGGAAAGCAAACTTGAATAGGTGATTTGCATGATTTCATGCAATTTGACATTTCCGTCATCTTTTTTACCTTTTCCTTTCTTTAGTATGGAAGAGGAAAAGGGGAGAAGATAAACGTAAAGGAGCTAAAAGTGTGGCGATAGTGAATTTGCGCCGAGCGCTATGAAGACAAAATTTTACAATTAAATTTTACAAATAAAAAATCTAATGATAAATCTAAAATTTTTACAAGAAAAAATATAACTATGGCACCTTTGATTCTTAACACGAAAGGTATATAAGGTAAGTATATAGGTAGTATATAGGTATATAAGTTTTAGAAAGATCTGAATAACGAAACTCATTAAAAGGAGAGAATGATGAAGGTAGGAGAAACTGAAACCACGAAAAACGGTGGTTTGGAGTCAAGTAGTGAAAGACGACGAATCCCTACAGCTTAGATCTAAATGTGAAGTTTTGCTATGAACAATATAAAATAATATATTCTTAACACAAAATGATAATAATTATTTCTAAAGAAAATATACATGTTGTATTGTACAGTAGTAGTGATAGTGTAAAAATCGATACAAAAGTAGGTTTGAAATCAAATACAAAAATGCTTTGTGACGTTTTCGTCAATTTCTGTCATTACAAATTTGCTGGATTCTCCATCTTTCAATGGTACAACTTCCAGAAGTAAAAAGTTCTTTAGACAAATGCACATTGATAAGTAACGCCTATCTCTTTCAAAAAATTCTTTTTGCTAGAAAGAAGCTAAGTAAATTTCAGTTAAAAACCACATTACGAGTGGAAAAATCGAACTTAGAGCCGAATCGCGTCGTGTGCTGTGCGCCTCAATGTCGTCCCCATTTCTCGGATATATCGAAAGGTAAGCCGTGTGTGTGTGCCGATATCCAAGAAACGAGGACAAAACTTTTAGTCTCAGATACCCTGCCTGCGAAAGAGGGCAAGTATACGATGACGATTTGACTTTTTTCATTGAATTGAAGTGTTGCAGGTTGGTATTAACGTCTTTGTGACGTCTCGTAGCGTCATACATTCGTAGATCGAGGAATGATGATAACCCGATTTTGAGAATGAGTCAGCGTTTTCGGAGCAGAGCACAAGCACGAACGCATGAAGGTCGGGAGCGATGAGGGGTCAGAAAATGGGGGGAAGATACGAGACAAAGTGAGAATTTCTGAAGGAATATCCAAATAGAGGATTGTCACTGTATATGTATTAAGGAAACAGCATACTTGAATTACTATCTGACGAAATTTTTCCGAACTTTTACTACGTAAAGGATGAAACTTCCCCTAAACGCAGAGTGATGGACAACATATGGCAGGCTGCAGCCAACAGCCATTAAACGAGCGAGCAATCGCTACCGTAAACAACCAAAAGTACCGTAATCTAGCAGGGCAACAATTCTCCAATAAAATATTCATAACATACAATATTATAGCGAATACAGCCTGAATAAGTTCAGGTGAAACATCCAGGTGCGCGACGATCGCCGAGGAGCCCCTACGACCGTGACCGCGACGCGAACCGTACATGCGCGGCGGTCGTCGCACCTCGGCTGGACGCCACATCCACCTCCACCATCGCCGAACTCCTCGTCTAATAGGGGTCACACGCCGAGCGGCTGGCCGTAGAAGACCCCTGTCTCCCCCCCCCCCCCCTCCCCCCGTCCCGCCGCAGCCGCCGCCGCCGACGCTGATCTCTCCGGCTGCGGCGGCGGCGACGGCGGCGGCTGAGATGACCACCATGGCGGCCCACGTGGCCGCAATTTCAGCGGCTCTATGCGAGTGTGCGCGATCTTATGGACATTTGTAACGGTAATATAGGGCAGAATTGGTCCACTTCGTGGCGTGGTCTGGGGAAAAGGGGAAGGGGGGGGGGGGAGGCAGGAGGTAGTGAATGAATGGTTTCAAAATAGGTTCGAAAACTGTGTGGAAGATCCAGAGCATTCTTATCATGCATTTTTTAGACTTGTGTATTTAGGCATTGCACACAGAAAGATGGGAGCATCGAGCGAATGTCGAGAAACTACGTAATGAAACAATAAGAAATGAGCACCACTTGTTCTGTGACTAGCAGACTCGAAATCGCTGTGCATACATTTTCTCATCAAACTTGTTCTTTCTTGTTTCCACATGGCAAATAATCCCAGATCAGGTAGATCACTAGTATAGACTTGCTAACTACACGATTGAGCTTGTTTTGATAAATGCGAAGCGGTTTCGAGTCTTTAGTTCCCACAATCAAAATGATTTTTATGATACAAAAAGACATAGATTCTTTTTGAAAACAGAATTTTCTGAACCTACAAATTTTCGATTAAAATTTGTATTGACCCACGGTACACCTATACTTGTGTCTTTTAGAGTTGAAGAAAATTTTTGAACTGTGTAGATTTCCTTCT